CTCTCTCTCTCCTCTCTCTCCTTTTCCTTTGACCCTCCTTCTCCCTCTCTGTATTTTGTCTAGATCTTTGTTTTTCTGGGTAAGAGTGTTGACCTACTAGAATCAGTTTTGTCATGGATAAGAGTGGGGTTTGCTCCAGACGCCTTCAATCTTGATTCACTCACTGTGCAGTGACAGGATCAGAACCTCAGCTGCCCTGACAAAGTGAATGCTCAGTAGAACTGCATTTAAATATATTTTAACATTTCTATTGTAAATATATTTTGATGTATATATGTATATATTTCAATATAGCCATATATATATATGTTTAGGTAAAAGACTATAGTCCAGCTTCATCTGTTCTATACATTTGTCTTTAGTTCTGGGCTTGCTGAAATGTTATATTTAACCACACTCATCTCTTGGTGTTCTGTGAACCGTGGTTAGAGCAAACAGGGAAGGTGTAACGCCACAGCAGGGGATCACATCTGACCAAGGGAAAACACTTAACAACATGTGGGGATTAAAAGCAGTGATTCCAAGCCTGGCGTGGTGGCGCATGCCTTTACTCCCAGCACTCAGGGAGGCAGAGGCAGGCGGATCTCTGTGAGTTCGAGGCCAGCCTGGTCTACATAGTGAGTTCCAGGACAGGTGGGGCTATAAGGAGACCCTGTCTCAAAAAAAAGGAGTGATTCTTTTCTCTAGCCAAGGACAGTATAGTGATGGAAAAATACAAGATATAAGGAGACGTATGGATCCGGAATCTGAAACTGAGATTTGTTCTGTGTAGCCACACCCCTCACTGCTGCTCTAGAAAGTTACTTCTCTGTAAGATGATCATGACGTGCTCGTGTCCATGGTGGATGAGGGCAGCATTGGTTAATGACAAGTCCCACATGGATGCTGTTACCACAGCTCTATCTTAGAGACCCCCGTGGGCCTGGCACTGTATGTGCATAGGCAGAGCTAAAGTCATGGGCCTCTGTACTCTTGAGAAAGCGCTGGGTGCCACAGGGGAGCCCTTTGCTCATGG